CCACGGTGGGCGTCCTTAGACACGACCATGAGTTGAGTGCTCAACCTATTTCAACCTATTAAGGAAAAGGAAAGAACTGGTAAACTCACTAACCAACATCCATCCATTCACGGCTTCAGCTTAACCGTTAACCCTTAACAGGGTCTCCCCGACCACCACCCAAATCACACTGCACTGCACCAGCCCCTCATGAACCTTCCTGCGGGTGGTGAGTCCACTGGAAGGCGCCAACAGCCCTAACTGGGACTCGATCTTGCCCTGGGGTTCCACACCTACTCACTAACATTGGCCGCTAAATATGAGCCTTGCACTAAGTTCAAAGACCAGATATGAGCACAAGTGGCTTCATGAAGAGACAGTGAATCAGGGGCGATAGGAGAGTAGCTTTGGCCGGATATGGTAATTTGACCAACTCCACTGGGATCAGGATACGATTGTTTACATTCAAAATGTCTTTGGTTGTGTGACGTTATTTCATTTCATACCTCTGATAGAGAAGCAATAAAAAAAACATAACGTAGCAACAGATGCAGTTTTGGCGTTCATTTAAGACCATAAAGATTTGATGTTTGCCTGCAGACTCTGTCATCACAAGGATACATTTATTTGCATCTTTATTTTCATGAACGATCTTAACTTAACGCTCTATAAGTTGATGCGAGATTCTTACATTAATTGCTGGCAGTATCAACAAAGAGTTGTATTTTTGTGTCTCATAGCACGGCTGCTAAAAGCGGGTCAGTAATAAAAAAAGTTAACAATACCAGAATAGCTAACGAGGAGAAGTATTTCCAGCCGACTATAACGGTCAATGAAGCAATTCCTGTTCAGTGCTTCTCTGCTGGGATGAGGTTAAGCTGTGCATGTTAAACAAGTGAGTGTAACAATCTAAGAATAACTTGGTTGAGCCACACACACATCCATAACAGTGTGTTCAACAATTAAATGTTCTCACTTGTTCTTCACTGCCATCAGCCCAGGTTCAGTGGAACAAAGGCATTAAAGCAAATGTGAACAAAGATCTGTTTTATGGCTGTTGGTGTGTCTCCGTAAAAAAAACAAAACAGTCAAATTAATCCACATTATTTTGCAGTAAGGAAACAAATAGGTGTCAACTGGGTCACTGTGAAATCTTGACCTAAAATTGTTGCAGTAAGAGCTCATTGTGTTGCGGATGAATAGCCTTAGCATGTTTTGCTAGCAACAGAGAAGCCATGATGACTAAGCAATTTTTTTACATCATGAACCTTAATAAACATTATTGAAGTCGGTAATTGCTGCAGAGGATGAGTCACGGATGCTTTATTTTGATTATTTTTAAATTTAATTAGTAACTTAGTAACTCGCTTCAAAACATCCATTACAGCGTCCATTATTTGTTTCTGGGACATTCAGACAAATCTGGATGTGTTGCGGTAATTAGAACGTTCTATCCTTAGAAAGTCCTAAAATGCAATAAAATGTAAATAAAATGAATTTCTCTTTGGTCCTGACTCTTCTCCTGACACATTGTATTTTTACACTTCACATTTAATCCTGCAGACACCTCTCAAAGTACCAGGAAAACTAGAAAAGCAGTGCATTGAGTGATTACCTCAGTGGATGTCAACACGACAGAGAGAGATGTTTCAGGGTGAGAAGAAAAGTCTCATAGATTAACACACAGTGACGTGAGACAGAGTAGAAACAAAGTGGAGGCCGTACAGGTGAGAAACGTCTTTTTTTTTTTTTACTTGTGCTGAGTGACTGTTGCAAACATTGTGGTGGTGGTGGGGGGTGTCTCTGGTCTCCATGGAAACTGACATTCCCTTGAAGGTACTTGGACAGTCAGTGCCAATTGTTGAGCTTGAGTAATGGTTTGAAATTTTTCGTAAAGTGCCTCAGAGATTGAGATTAATCTCGCTCGGGGGTCGACTCATGCAGTCAGTAATCAGGCCGTCTCCGAACGAGAGCTTAACAATATTCAGTCAGGAAAATACTCAGTCACATGTCAGAACGTTTGTATTTTTTGGTTCCCTGGGGCCATTAACTTTTTTTAATAAAATGTATTTTTCATTTTTTAAAACCCACTACCGTGCCAGCTTTAATTCATCATTCCTATTTATTTTAACTCAATGTTACTTTAAGAATTCTCTTCTTTCAGATTGGAACTGCGTTGGTAAAAACAAATATATATTCTAGTGAAAAATGTCTGTCCTGGTGGATGAAGAGCTGCTGCAATATTGCATGTCACATCACTTTGTATTCCCAGTGGTTCAAACAAAAACAATTGAAACTGAAGGCTCAATATGTTCTGAGTCTCTCTGGGAACAACGGTGCGATGCTCCGCAATTACATGCAGGCAGTACATCATGTCATCACGTCACCTCTGCACTGTTTCTGCCTGTACTTGTTGTACTGCTTTACCATAGGCAAATAAAACAGACTGTGAAAGGTGAAAAATATACAGAAAATAGTCTAGGTTGAGTCTGCCCATGTAGAAGTTAAAAAAAATTACTAATGTTTAATATAGATTTATTCTGTAATTGTCAAAAATATCTTTCTCCACAACGACAAGTAATACTTTAAACTTGGAACTGAATAATTGCCCAGGGATTTGGGAACTCAACCTCAGAGAAAAATGTTTGAGAAATTACAGTTTTTGAAAAAAAAAAAATCCTTAAAATAATAAGTAAAAATAAAGTTATTTAAAAAGTTGACACCTACATTCCTACTTTATAGAACTTTATAGAATATTTCAGGAACTCTTATTTTGCTTAAGATGCCCTGACGTTAACCCAGACCTCAGTTTTAAAGACACAGCAAACAGAAGAGCTCATGAACCCTGGTGGCCAGTATTGTAACTACACCAAAAGGCAAAGAAACACACAAGGAATGTTTACTGTGAGTCTCTGCTGTGCCTGGCAGGACAGTCTAAATGAAAGAAGTCAGGCATCAGTGCCCAACAATTGATGAAATGATTTCCAAGTGTGGAGGGCGTCAGTCGTCTGTGGTAGGTTGTCTGAAGGCACAGAGCTGATGGGCCTGCAAACACAAGCAGCTGAAAAGAATCAACCATGCGAGCAGTCAGTCTAACACCTCCGCCATGACACGAGCTCAATATGGAGCCATTTTATCCTGCGCTCCGTTTCACCTTTCAGGATTCTGCGTTGACTTTATCAGAATTCGTTCTTAACGTATTTGACCCTTTGTTTGAACGGAGGAGTGGGATTTTCTGTCAGGTCTGTGTTTTTTTTTCCACAGATTGTCTGTGTAGAGTCATTTGCATTGTATCACAACAAGAGAAGAGCCAACACTGAGACATTTCCTGTCCCTTGAGGAGCCATCATAAAAACAGAACGTTTTCAACAATAGAAACTCCTTTTTGTGAACATCATCAACAAGTCTTCATGTTCACACACGTGTGTGTGTGTGTCAGTACCAGCATGTGAGGCCTATTTGTATGCTACAGCACCTCCTGTTGTTCCCAGGACTCGGTATCCTGGGAGGTCAGTCTGAGGAAAATCAAAGGTTTTTCGACAAAGGACAAACCGTAACTGCCAGTCTTTTCTTTTCATGGAATTCTGAATGGTTCTACAGTGGAGGAACAATGAAGCAGTGTTTTCACACACACACACACACACACACAAAACAGACTCACTGTTGGATTTTCAACAGTTTATCAAAAAAGTGCATTTACTGGTGTGACAGCTGGGCACATGTAGCTCAGATGAGTCCCTGGTTTTCAAAGCCAAGTCAATGACTACAGATTTAAAAAAATAAAATAAAATCCTGATTGTTTGACCTGCAAAAACAAAGGGTTAGATTGTTAAAATAAAATATCTCTCCTAACAGAGCAGATGACGCAGATGAAGCAGACCTGAAAGTTAAAGGTTCCTGTCATCTGACAGACATTCATTTTGTTTTTTGGTCTGACCGGTCCAGAAATTGAGGGCAGAGTGTTTTCTTCAACTACAGATGGGAACACCTACTGTACCGTACACAAACTGCTGCACAGTGAGCAGCAGTTCTACAGTACACTGATGGACAAGGGACAGTGGCAACCATCTGACTCAGACACGATGACCTATGACCTCTAGGCCACTCATATGTTTAGCCTTTAATGAAAGAATCCTGCAGGATTACAGCATAGGTCCAAAAGTATTCGCTCACCTGCCTTGACCTGCATAAGAACTGAAGTGACATCCCAGGGTTCATTATTCGATGTCGGTGGTAGAACCCTAACTGCCGACAGGTATAAACTCAGCGTGGATCGACCAACTCCATAATGCCCTGAATGTTTCTTCTGCTCCAGAACACCAGTTGCTAACTGTGGCTCATAATGACAACAGACGTCGTAATGACATTTGACTTTTTGGTCCTGTGCAGATCAATAAAGTCCAACTCAGCCGTAGTTTGATTTTAGTTACAATCTCAGATAAATGAGGTTGACGTTTGCTGGAGAACATTGTACAGCATTAAAAAAACAAACAAACGAATAAATCTTTCAAACTATCCCAAATTGCCAGGACGCTGTGTGCTTTTCGGACATGACGTGCATGTGTGGCCTGTGTTTTTCTTTTGTGTTTTTTTTAAGCACATGTGATTGTTGACTTTTTGTGGATATGCATCCATGCACAATAATGACTTCATGCTCATTGCCTGGGAAAAACTTAATTAACTGTCCCTTGTCAGGGGAGATAATTAGTCAATAACACACACGCACACATTGGCATCCACCCACACACGCACACATGGTCAATAAGTTTACCCCCCCCCCCAACATCACTGTGGAGACGAGTGTTCCAACAAAGGCACCAGTTTTGACTGACGTGACTCAATAGGCAATTACAGCCGTGCTGAAGGTGGCGCCGGTTCTGGACCTACAGAGAGGAGCTGATGCTGCTGGGTTTCACTTGAAATGCCTTTATTGTTATGCTGCACTGCTGTACCATCTGCAGTGCTAACGCTAATGTACCGTCCCACAACACAAACCTCATTATGTTTTCTTCTCGTTGCAGGTTTAAGGTTCGATCTCCACAAGGGAAAAGGTAAAGAGTGAACTTTGTTTCCTTTTTCACCACTTTTCACACTTTCCTTCTGCATAGAGAAGTTGAACAGGGCAGTTAGAGCCATCAGAACATAGTCAGTTTGTGTTCCTACTGTGAAGGGGATTGGAGTGGATGTTTGTCATTGTTTTTCACTTTTTATTGCACAATCACACCCACACGCCGCCGTGGGCTGTTCTTCTGATCACAATGGGCATGAAAAACAGATCTGGGGAGTTTTGTATCAGGGCCTCAGTCATAAATACCCACAAACACATTGTAAAACACTGCAGCACATGTGCACCTGCCGCCGCTGCGAGGCAGGGACAGATCGACTAATTTATGTTTATATCCCATAATGTTTCGTCTCTCAGTTACCATCTGTCACGACGACGACGATGATGATGATGATGATGATGGTTGTTTTTATTTGAATAAAACACTGACTTCTGCTGACTGAAGCCTTGTTCAGAATGAGGCTGGAAATGTCGTTCCTTCCAACTGATGTGGACGACATCAGCACTTTTGAGATCAGAGAGTTGACAAAACACTTCTTTTTTCACTGCTGCGTTTTATTGTCAGGCTGGACTGAAGGCACTCTGGAGTCTATTTCTGGCAGATGGAGTCTCTGATGGTTTATGTTTGTGGCTTTCCCTCCACAGGATCCTACAGTATTTTAGTCTGGAATAATCCCCACCATCTGCTGTCTCCTCTCCGTTTTAGTGCTCAATATCTTTTCCTCTGTCTGTCGCTCCGTGTTCCTCTTGTTTCAATTGCATTACGCCGCTCGGTCTCGGCGGTGTTTCATCGCCTCACGCCGCCGTATCTCGGCCTTATTGCTTCTGTTTTTATGAACATTGATTTTCTTTCCGTTTCCTTCTATGATCGCTTCATCACGACTCACTTGTGTTGCTATTTATTATCCTCACGTTCATCTCCGGTGTATTAAATCTTTGACTATCCCTAACACTGAATTTCTCAGAACTTTCCTCTTTATCCCTCTCTCCGTCCAAATGCAAACAACAGCAGCTCAACACAGGCTTCCAGTCCTAATCTGGGATTCAGGAACATACATGAATATACACATATTGATGACCACGTTTGTTTGTTGAGGCGTTCTCATGTCTTATAGAATGAAACTGCTGATAAAGGTTCTGCCTTTGCAATTCAAAGAAATTATTAAATCTACTCTTATTAATATATTAAAATGAACGGATTGTGCAAAAAAAAAAAAAAAACTCATCCAAAACTAATTTTCCCATCACTACCACCTCCTGCTGATAAATCTATTAGCTTTAAGTCCCTTTGCTTCATCTTCCCTGTCTGACTTTTCCTCTCATTTGTCAGCACAGACGTCACCAGGTCACATATGAGGAGCAGTTCCTCTGCATGCCCATCTCGAGATTAAAAATTAAAGAGAAAGAGAGGAAAAAAAAGAGAGAGGAAAATTCTGTTTGTGAGATTTTATTTTGTCTGTCGACATATTTTAAAAATAACTTTGTGTACCTGTGAGGTATTATTTCATGGGTACTGTTGATGAAGCCCCTTGAAAAATGATGGCTATGTGCGACTGAGTAAGTGAGAGAGTGAGTGAATGAGTGACAGTCGTGTGATAATGTCATTGCCAGCTGGGCGTTTGTGCTAAAATTGCATTCCTCTCCACAGCTCCAAATTGCTCTGGATTGCTGCTGATAGCTACTTTGGCTTTTTCTGTGCGATTCAAATATTAAAATTTGCCATGATGTCATTTTTCTTTGGCTCCTTCTCCTGCTGCTGCTGCTGCTGGTGCTGCTGCTGCTGCTGCTGGTGCAGCTACTGCTGCATGTTTCTTGGATTACTGTGTTTGAACATTGCATGAAGCTTTAAGAACGTCACTTAATGAACATAAGCCATGCAACGCTTCTAATTGAAATGCTGAAAAGACAGCTTTGGTTAATCAGCTTAGAGTTGACAGATAATACAGAGGATCTTGGTGTGGAAGAATCTATTACCACCCCCCTGTAATGACAGTTCATATAATATGATCCGGGGACAATGGAAGGATGGAGAGCTCAGGAGAGACTGTGAGAGGTGGTGTAAAAGTAAAAAAAAAGAGAAAAAAAGAAAACAGATATGACTCCCAGGAGTGGGTTAAAAAAGAGGAATGGCACATCAAAGTGGGGGGGGGGGGGGGGGGGGGTTGAGGGGTGAACACCTTCTACAAAAATACTACCCACTACAAAAATATATAAATAGTGTGTGATGAATAGTTTTGTTATTGTGCATAAAGCCAATTTTTAGGGTACATTTTTTTGCGGAATCTGTGGGCAGGGTATAAAACACTGGATGTCAGCGTATGAAAAACAACAGAAACTACACCGTGTCCTATCAGGATAGATGAAGGGTCATTACCTTAGTTGTTTTTTTAATAGAAAAAAATATGATCTGAAGGTGTACATCAACGACAACTTTAACATTAGCATATTATATGGACAATATGGTATGGTTTTATGTTATATTTCCTGACTAAGAATATGTAAACTGTAAATTTCCCCTTGTGTTTAACGATAAAAGGCTGCGTGTCAGAACTGTTTTGCCATTTTATTGGATGTTATTTTGTGGTCAAACAAGATAAATGTCTCCACGGTGACGCTGTGTCTCACTTACCTCAATATTTAAACGAAACTGCATTTCCCCCTTTTCAGAGACAGCTTTTCCCGTTCAGCTGTTTGGATATGATATAAACAATTTCACCTTCCACTGGGCGTTATGGGAAACACATCTTTTGAGAAGCATAACACAACCTCTCTATGGACGATACTTCATTCGTCACTTGTCGCGAAAATGTAAACTTAGTTAAGAATGTGAAAAATTGTGTTCGGGGATTTAGTGCGTTGAACTTTGGCTAAACCTTTTATCGATTGTTTGGACTTTTCTGTGGATCTGAGAGATTTTTGGTTTTTGACTCCAGGCTCCTTCTTTGGCTAAATTAACTTGGCTGATTAGTTTTTAGCTCTTTTGGCTAATTTTCCTGCTAACTTACTTAGTTAGTTATTTGATATAACTTTTTACATGTATTGTTTTTGCTAACTTCAAAAGTGTACGTTTAAAACTCTTTCAATAACATTTCTTCTCTTACCTTTTCAATATTAAGCAGCTATTTCAAGGCTGAAGACAGTGAACAAAGGTTAACTATAATGACGGCTTCCCAACCCATAATCATGTCCATCCACCGTATATAAATAATATATTTATATTGTTTTTCCCTGTGTATTTCTGACTCTGACTTCTGACTTTGTTACACTTTCAGTATTTATTTGATGTGTGATCTCTGAAATCCTGGACACGCAGCAGAAGAGGACAGTTCTGGTTTGAGCCTGTTACCATCTGCTCTCCAGTACTACTAGTAGACCAGTTGGCCTCCCGTATGTTAATAGTTATAATCCTGCTGAGTGAGATGAAGTCACTCACCTGTTTTCACTCATCACCTGTTCTGCAGAGTCAGTCGAGCAGCGACCACTGTTTATTTCACACTAATGGCCGAGCGTAGCGTTCTAAAATCCCAGAGGACGACTCGCCCTCGATTATTTGACGCTCATTATTCTTTTACTTTCGCTCTCGTTCAAACGTCTTCTGACCTTTCAACCGCACGTTCCTGCACAGGCACATACTGACACACACCATGGATTTTTAAAAGCTAGTGTTTATGAATCAGTCAGAGGTCAGGGCAGTGGCATGACGCAGGACACACACACACACACTAACACACACACTCAAATAAATTCCCATCTGGTCATAAACAAATTAGGCAAAAATAAAACTCTTCTTTTTTTACCCCTCAATTTATTTACCTCGTGTTTGGATATTTTTATATTCCAACCATTAATTCATTAAAATTACAGTTATTAAAATTGACCCAGCGTTAAAGAACGACATTCAATGTATCCTCATAAAAAAAATGAAAAACTGCCATTAATTAACTGTTTTCAACTCTAAATAGTGTCTTTTCAGATGATTTAAAATTGAATACATGCCTGTATGAAGTTTGTTCTGGCAAATGTTACATCCAACTTTTAATTGGATAAAAACACTTTTTATGATCATTAAAAAAAGATCCAAGTTTTTATCATAGAGAGATACTGTATAAAGATTCATTATTTTTTTTAATTTAATTAGATTTTCTACAACTTTACATCAGCACCAGTCACTCTCTCTCTTTCCACATCATGGTACACTTCATATAACCATTCAGTGGAATGTGTCTAATTATGCTTATGGAGTTGTCAGTTGAAATCAATGCCACTGGGAGTTAACAATGCATTCCATTCACTAATCCAGGGCCCCACTGAGACCACATATCATATATTCTGTCCTGTCCTTGTACTCATGCTGCGGGTATTACCCAGCAGCTACTGATAATATTGCTGTAGCGTCAGCCCAGACTTGCACAACATATATTTATCATCAGAAGTAAATTGTAATAGATTGCCTTACAAACAAATGTCTACTGTGACAACAACAACATCGACGGTAGTAAAAACATCTCCATTGAAAAACAGCGGCTTCTTTCACTCCTTCACATTAGTGTAGGTTTATGGTGAACATCAAGTGTCCTAACTGTGGAGCATTAATCTTGCAGAAGTAATACAACTTTTTATTGTGTAGACCACAGACTGGAGACTGTATATAAAATGTGGAACAGGCAGGAATTTGTTGCCGGGTGAAACAACTATGACCACAGGATTGAGAAAATGTTTACTGACGTCGTAATATGTGTGACAGAGACAAACCAGACATTTCCTGTTTTTGTCATGAGACTGACCAAGTCACACTGCATGTAGTTTGCACCTCTGACCACTAGAAGACAGGGAAGAGTGAAGGAATCCATAATTTTTCATTCCATCATTTTACCAACAATATTTTTTTCTATGTAGTAGATCACCAGTTAAGTTTTGACATATTGGATGAATGGTTTTTAATTTAAACCTCGACATCCCTGTAAGAAATCAATGAGACACAGTTAG